TATATTTCGGAAATCACAAAATTCTTTCCTAATAAATAGAAATTCTTTTGCAAAGAAAAAAAGTAATAATATTTAAAATTTAAATAAATTTTGAATAAACGAATCTCTAACAAAGAATCGAACACATAAAAATCTGTTTTGTTAAATATAAACGCTCCAATTTAAATACGAGAACCTCTGATGAAACGTTTCACTATGGACCATTAACATGATCCGATAAGACAAATCGCATCGGGCGGTGGCATCACGTAATGATACAGCCCGCTAATGCGACACGACACCGGAACAATGTCTAGCAACTTGATTTGTAGCAACGATCGTGACGGTGTCCCACGTTCGATCGCGTGTGTTCACAATCGCGATCCAATCTATAATTTATCGCGGCTATACGTATCGCCAATACGCGTCGCGTCGCGAAATAAACGAGTCAATCACGGCTCGGCATTCCAATCTTGCGATGCACACCGGAGAATCTAGAAGATCCCAGTTCCATTTCTCTTCGCTAATTCGCGATCATCATGAAAATGTATTTCAATTTTTCTGAATTATATTCAGCTGTATAAGAGATTCTCGTAGCTTCTAAAAAAAGAACGACGTTTCTTCATCTTCTTTTATTTAAAAAATAAAAAGAGCGAAAAACTTTATGATAAAATATAATCGATATATAATTATACGTGTATATACATAATGAGACGTCGCAAAATAACTCATGCTCGTAAATTGTGCTATTATTCGATATTATTAATTACAAATGGAAATTGGAAATTGCACTACAGCTTTGGTTAATAGGGTTGAAATCGTCAAACCCCCTTTTCCTCTTCGGTTCACCACTTTAATTACCGTCAATGTTATCGATAGCGTAAAAATTACGCGATTAGCGCAAAGAGATAATAATCGGCGAAAATGTCACGCGTTATTATTATTACTTACCATTTAGTGGCAGTTGCACACAAACCATCGCGTATAATACAATATAATTACAATCCGATGCAACTGGGGGAGTTACAACAAAGGGTGACAAATTATCGTGGCCAGAGCTAGGACAAAATTTTAAACTAATATCCCAGCTCTTGCGCATTGTGTGTAGAATGTAATCATAATGTTACCAGAAGTACCATCGTCAGTTCGCGTTAATTAAATGCAATTTTCAACCATAATGTACGACGAATGTTTAAAACTGTCCAACGCTGTTTCATTGCGCATCATTTCACGATGTGTAAAAAGATATATTTATATCTGTCTTAAATTTATGATCTTATTAATTGAACATAAACTGTAATAATTTCTTAACCGATCTAGATTTTCCTTTTATATATAATGAATTATTTGTTATATTTTAATAAAATAATATCAGGTCGAGAGAGTTTAATATTTCTGCAAATAGGTGTTATATTTTCGTTAAGATCGATTCCAAAGCTCCAAACACGGAGGTTTTATATACAAAAGCAATTATAATTTGCATTAATAAACAAACTACACAAGCAACGTAAATATCAATTAGATGTAACTACAAGTTGTTAAACATCGTTTCCGGACAACTCGCACAATATGCATATTTTTTTTCGTAATTCGTCTTTCTTTAGCGTAAAATATTAAAGTTACATATAAAGGTAATAATGTTAAACTATCCGCGCTCTCTTGGTGCACCGCGATGTACACCGTACAAAGTCATCAACATCATGCGAGAGCAGCGAGAGAGTAAAAAGTGCGTTTTCCTTTTGAAAACCATGCAGCTTCAGTCTTGATCTGCTAAAAGGTTGCGTTACGCCCGCGGAACGTGAGCTAAAGCCACCTGCGCATTTTCTCGCCACACGTTCGTTGGCGTGCCGTTTTGTAATAATAACAGCACCAGTCGCTGCAACACGTACGAAAGCAAGACGCGCCTTTCATTACGCTCGCTGCAGCGCGCGCCAAAAGCGCCTAATTGCTGAGATTAGAAACGACAGCAAAAGGAAGTCACGAGAAGACGTCACACGAAATTCCTCGGCATTTTTCAACTCCTCGTGGCAACAACTTCGGGTGGATATTTATTATTCCTCGGAAAGCATAAATATTTTGATACCAGGCCGAGAAACGTGTGTCATTCTTAATTTAAATAATAATTTTTGTAAATAAATTCGTAGACACAAATATATATCTTTGTAATTATAAAATCTTGAGATTCGTAGGGGATTAAGAAAAATTCACAAAATAAACTTTTTCACTGCGACATTAAGATTGTACTTTAGCTCTGAAGAAATCCCAAAATTCCCCGAAATTTTAATTTTCTTCTTTGAAATTTAGCTTAAAATTTTGCGAGATTTCGTTTACGAAATCACTATCGAATTTCAACTTCTTCGCGCGCATTCGATTGATGCCGTCTATGGCGTCGCGAGAGACCAATTATTTCCCATTACGAAGGCTCCGTAAATCGCGCGTGTACCGGCACCCTCGTTAAGCAGCCGCTTTGCCTCGTTACATAGCCAGATAATGAGATTTCCTGTATATCTGTCATGAGCTTCAAAGGGATAAGAACTGATCCTAAGCTATACATTTATTGAAACATGTGCGACATACAAAATGTTGTATGAGGTAAGGATTTATATAAAGCATGGATACATCAATGTTTCCAAGCATGATAATTCATGCTTGGAAACATTAATGTATTCATGCTTTATATATCATTAAAAAAAAAACTCGTATCGAGCAATCGTATAAGAGTTTAAAATTTAATGATTAATAATTTTGCTGTAAAGAAAGCTAAAAACATTTTCGAGAAAGGGTGATAAAACAGTGACGATATTTTTAACTTAAAATAAATATCATTTTCCTTCGAATACTCGTAATTTCGATTAAATTCAATAATATCCTTTTTTTTCGACAGAATAAGTTTTTTGTAGCGAGTTTACACATTTCAGTAACTTTATCGAGATCGGAGCGATTGAGACCGTAGGTGATAGCAGTGAATTATTAATGGTGGTTTCAAGAGAGAAAGGGGAGAAGGCCACGGATAATTTTGCAGCGAGCCGAATGTGATTACGCGGTTCGTTACACGTATCTGGCATCAATGTTACTTAACGCGGTTCGCTGCACACGCTCAAAGTATTCATCGTAACGCTGAAAATCACATTACAGTTAGCTCTGTATAATAATAATAATAAACAATGTATCATGTATACGGATGAAAAACATTTTAAAATTCAATCATAATTCGCATTTTGCATCCATCCTTCAATTATTGGTTGGCTAAACAATTCGGGCGGCAGGGGATTATTACATTAGTGAACAATTCAACGATTAAATTTCGCCGCGGATAAATGAAGCCGGTTGAACATAACGAGAGAGTGCATTCGATCCACTCTTTTATCTGGCCGCTTTGGAAGCGTGTATTTTCGTTTCACATCATTATTCAATTTTATTCGAAACGTTATCCTCCCAACCCATTATGAAAAACGCTGCATAATTATCGAGGCACTGAAAAATGCAACACACGTAAAGCTCCTCTTAAAAAGAATTAATTTTCAAGCTTTACCTTTTCTATAAATCATAAATTATTCCTATAATGCTTCCTTTTAATTTTGAACATTTTATACTTTGAGAAAATGATTAATAATTGTACATACTGTTCAAGCGAGAGCTACATGATAATAAAACTATACGGCTGCATAAAATTAATGATCGTGTAACCAAATTAAGTGTATTAATCTTTTTATAGCTTACATAAAACAAGAACTGATAAATTGAAGCAATTATTTCGGCCAATAATGGAAGTTGTAACAAATTTATAATCGATATTAAATGGACGTAATTTAAATTGAATTAATTATACACGTTGCCATCTTATAAAGTCCATATCATTATATCGTTCTACTTTAATAAATAACATATACTAATTATTCATTTTAATAGCGTTTTATTTATATCCGTCATATTCATCGTTAATAATATTTTAATAGCTTTTAACTACACGTTAACTTCACTTTACCAATACTGCAAGTCACGAATATGAAGAAAAAGAATTTGCTCAGAGATGAATTGAGCTAACAGCTTTCCGTACAATTATTCAGGAACAATCCGTCTAAAATCGTTAGCAATGCAACAGTAGGTACAGTTGACTGCGAATGCTGCAGCTCAATTATCACGGACGAGGGATCTTCCGTGAAATCTCTCGCGAAACTTCGCCCGAGGAAAATTCACGTCAACAGTGCACAGTGCAAAGGAAAGGCAGCGGTCTATCGTTTGCTCGTGCAGATTCGCACCCCCTATTAATAATTCGCGACAATACGCCAACGCGAACTAACTCACGGCGAGCGAGGCGTCGTCGGCGAATAACGACGAGTCGGCCGATTATTAAGCCGGAAATCCAACATCGGCGATTAACGCGGAATTACGGGGACGCATTGCATCTCCCGTGTCGTCGTCGCGATAATGCACGACGACTTCGCGCGGAATTTAAGCTGCAGAATGCGCGCGAGTTTCGGGACGCACGCCGAGTAACTTCCAAGGCGCGCCTCGCGAGACTCGCATGGAGCTGGGAATTGGCACTTAACGCTTCGTCGAAAACGTAGAGCGCGCCGGATTTATTGCGAGAGCTATAGCAAGTTGGAAATTCGATATGCACAGCAAACGTTTCAAATGACTTAACTTGCCAATTCGGAGTTAGTAGATTAATAACTGAAAATGATTTTCCGGAAATGGCGGAAGTTTCACGAGATATTTCCAAATGTAGAATTATGAAATCCGTAAGCAACAGCTTAAAGTAAATTATATATCTAATTGTAAGTCCTATGTAAAAAATCAGCATCTAAAAATTCGACATTTAATATCTGTTTAAAGACCATGTCTAGAAGAGAAAAATTCAACTAATCCTCCTGATGTTCAAGCAAATTCCATGCTTGATGTTTGAAGGTACAAAACGTAATGTCAATCACATAATTTATTGAATAATACTCCAAAGAGGCGACTTGCCAATACTAGTACTTATCTATGGAGCCGAATGGACAGGGATAGGTAGCACTTACTTGGTCGCGTTGATCGTGAAGATGGTCTCGATGGAGCGACGATCGAGCACGCCGCCGCTAAGCAGATACTGAACGGCGATCAGAGCGAGGACGATGCAGGCGAGCGCCTTGAGATGGGCACGATGCCACAGTGCCACGGCTGCGGCGGCCACAGGCATTGCATGCGCGAGACACCATAACTCCCTTCTAGCCGCCGTTAGAGGAGCACCGCCGTGCACCACGAGGCACTCCTCCCCGCTGGCCGCTTCCAGTTTCAGCTACAGCTGCTGCCCGCAGGCCAGGGACCGACCCCGCTGCAGTCCTTCTTCTTCTCCACCCTCGATGAGCACGAAGGGAGAAAAGCCGCCTGGGGCTCTTCACTTCCGCTCACCAGGAGCATCACCCTCGCGGACCCTCGCGACCGTCCCCCGGGACGAAGATGATAATATCTGTGGACAACAGAAAATTTCTTGCTCTAAAGGATCTGTTTTATTAATTAATAAATTAATCTACTCTAACAATTAATCACTATCAATTTCCAATTTATATAAAACCTTTATATAAATAAATTATAAAGTTGATCGTATATAATTTAATTGTACCGTTAATTACTTCATCTCTAATTGCGTATAGAATATATATTTAGCATTAAAATTTATTTCGATACTCTGGCTCACTGATTAAATATAAACATTATGTAATTTATTAACATGCCATTGATTTGTTCTTTAAGCGATTATTCCCAATTTTAATTCGCTGGAAAGAGAGAATATATATTTCCATGATATAAACGATATGATATTTGAAACATGCGAAACATGTTTAAAATTTCTATAAAAAAAGGTGCGCAGAACTTGCTAATAAAATATTTTTTGCACATTTACAATTAAATTCAGATTTAATTACATCATAATTAAAATGTGCAAAAAACATTTTATTGCTCAATTATTTTCTATAAAAAAAATATTTTTTCACATAAAAAATTGATGTACGTTCCTCTTATTGTAAATAAAGAAAAATAATTTGAGCGTGATATGTAGAGATGCGAATTTTTCACGAGATCTTTCGCTTGAACTCGCCTTGAAGTTCCTAGCTAATATCACGTATAGAGCCAAATTAACACCGTAAACTGTAATTTATCGCAAGGCAGCCTGGAAAAATGTAATAATACTGGCGGTATCGTATACCTTCCGAAAGTTACGACCCGTGCTCGACAAATAAAAAGCAAGTTCCTGAAGATACGGTAAATTAAAAACGCTGTATGCGAGAATACTAAAAACAAACAAGAGTGTTATAATTATATTGTCAATTTTTGATAACATCACTAATTTTGCGACAATTTCATTATATAACCTAGTTCTTTGGTATCTGTGAAAGTAATTGTGAAAAAGTTAACATATTTTTAATTTATAAAAATAGCCCTTTATTATAAAAGTAATGTAGAATTTACTAAACCTAACATAATATTTTAAAAAATTAAAAAAAAGAGAAAAATAAAAAATTTATTTTTAACAAAAAAGAAATGCTTGCCATTGTTTTTAATAATTTAGAAAATTGTGTTTCTTTAACGCAATATTAATATATCTGAGCTGAGATGTTCGTTTATACAAACAGGCGCGGGCAGTGGTAATAACATTAGCAAGACGCATCCGATACGTTGTCGGGAAAATCAGTACATTATCGGAACTTCATTGAATCAAACTACACCAGTTACTCTACACTGCGCGAACCGAAACTAATCCGAGTTTATGTGCCGGGAAGCTTCTGAATAGTCGTGTTTAACGAGTTGGCAGACTTATCGACTTGCGACGGCAACTCACTCGATTGTTTCGGCGCAATCTTTATTACAGTGACTTGCCTATTAAAAAGTGATTATCGGCCATCATTAATACGACTGCGATTTCAGATCCCTGGCTCGTACCGCGTGTACTCGATAGCCTAGTTTGATTAATCTTTTGATTAATTAACAGACAAATTTGCCAGACTACACGAATAAACACGCATACGTTTCTGCGCGAATACATGCAGATTCGATCGTGCGATTCTCGTCAAAGCAGAATTCGTTACCTTAAACTATTGCAATTGCAAATATGGAAAGTGGAACAAAAAAGAATTATGCAAATTGACGCGCGCTATATTGACGCGTAGTAACGTGCTTGGAAAAAAAGAGAAATGCTTTACAAAATATTTTATACTTTATTCTGATATATTTTTACATGAAATATAAAATATTTCGTAAACTATTCATTTTTTGATAACCATACATTAATACTTTTGTAAAACAGAATAATAAGATCAATTAACTGGTGTAAAGAAAATAGTTACCTTTAAAAAATTAAGCAACTGTTTTTTTTTACATCAATTCATTTAATTAATTATTCTGTGCATAAAAGTATTAAGGTACGGTTCTAAAATAGTTTACAAAATATTTTATTTTAAAATATAAAACATTTTGTAAAATATTACTTTTTCGAGCACCTTACCCAACTTTTACGCATGAGAATATCCTCATGCATTTGTGCAAAAAAATGAGAATCCATTAAAGAAAAAGGTTGCACTTTTCCGATGCATCGTTGCTTTTATAAAAAATTAATAGAAAAATAGATTATTATTATATCATTCAACTTTTGCGTGTACCACTTCTTCCTATTTTATCTTCAACGGAACAGATGCTAGAATCCATTCGATCGGTCGAACGTTAAATCAGACGACTCCAGTATCCTCTTAAAAGCAATTATACAAAGTAAAAAGCTAACGATCCGATAATTAAGCTTTATTTCTATTTTATATTCTTTATGCTCTTCCATTTCATATTCTGTAAAATCAGAATCAAATAAAAATTACAATTATGTATTCATATATTATTTTTAATTATCTTTGTGTAATTATACTCCAAATTAAATATTTTTTAAACAAAACGCAAGTGGATTAATAAAATGTAAATATACTTTTACCATATATTTATGTATATGATTTATTGAAAAATTATAATTTGCAATATAAAATAATTTGCAATATAATAATTTTAATACCATTCATTGCTTGCTATCATTATTAGCTAATCGATACCGGTTCGTATTATCGTATAGCGTATATTTATTATTTTTTCAGACATACGTATTTCACTTATAATGCATCCACGATTCGTTCTTTATCGTAAAGCTCTTTTTTATTCTTTTCCTCGTATATTAACGTACACGAAAGACCAAATATTCATGTATTCCGTGCTAAGAAGAAGACTGGAATATTGCTTCCGTCCTCTCCTTCTTGTCTTTCGCGTGCTTCGACGTTCAACAATGCTAAGGTAGGTCGTGCTCTCGCCGTCTATTCATACCATGCGCGCTTATGTTTAATATGCAGTCGTAATTCCAATCCCTCCCGTAATTCCCTCTTCCTCTCTCTCTCTCTCTATCGCTCTTCTCTCCCTCTCCCCTCGTCCTCTCTTGTTGTTACTAGCTACCCGCGCGTTATCGTCCGGCTCCACTCTAGCGTACGATATAGCGCGCCCTGATTTCTCTTTGAAAACAAACGACGGGATATTATGGTGACACTGATATGAGGAAGGATAAGATATGATCTCATATGATTAGAAAAAAATGCGACCGGCACTGGGATATCACGAAGAGAAAAATTATGTCAGGGATATATTTTGATATATAAAATCTATTCTGCCGGTTGATCTTCATTAATCAACGCCACCAATCAATATTATATAGGTACAGTGTTAAGTAATAAACGTATTTGACAATATTGACAATATCTCTCGTGGAAAAATAATTTTTTTTTTAAATGATGAGAGGAAAAAAATTTTTCCCTATGACAATATCTCGTTCTAACTCCAATCGGATTTTATTTTAATAGAATCTTCATTTTATATGTATTATCTACAGATATTTAATTGAACACAATTATCAATATTATTATAATATTTATAGGTTTTTTTAAACTACATTATGATGTTATGTAAATATTTAGTTTTGAAATTTTTTTTCCACGTCGCAAGAAGATCGCGACATCCAATTCAATATTGGTAAAAGCATTAAAATCATTTCATATCGAACCGGTTTCTAATAAATTGCCGTGATATCGATGATGGCTGAGATTAAAAATCCCGATCGACCCATTCCTATATGTATAACAATGCTTTTACCTCGTCACAGCGGCGATACCCTTTTCCCGAGGGTAGGCGTGAAATGCGACACGGTGCTCCATCACCCGGAATGGAAAACATCATTCGAGGGCGAAAAACCGCGGCTTTTCCACTTTTCCCGAACTATCGGATTTTCTCGCTTGGCAGTCATCAGGATTTCCGTAGTTCTCGCAGACTGAGTCGATGCGCAAGAAAGTCCCTCGTGTCGCATTTCTATCTTTCTCTCTCGCAAGAAGAGTTCATGATTGCACGCGCGGCGCATGATAAAAAAGCGATCGATAATTTCGATATGTACAATAAAATGTATCAAGAAAATATATCTTTGACGTTGCAGTATTAGATAATTTCACTATCACCATTCTATGATTCCCTTTCATTTTTCTGATCTTATTGTTAGAAATACCATAAGCTCCATTTCAATTCAATTTTAAACGATATTTCAAAAATACATAACCGCTTCTGATTAACCGTAACCGTCGAAATATCTGACTGCTTAGACCTAGCTAGCAACCGGCGGCTCTATTACTTTTCGAGATGCATAAAAAAAGGCGTGAGCGCAGCTACTTTTGTATGCACCCGACCTGCGTCGTACCTTATTTATTTACGGCCGTATGAAGACTCAAAGATCGACGATATGCGCACAGCTGAATTCTGTAAGAATACAAAAGTGCACCAGGCATGAGCGAACGTAAAAGACAGATCGTAAATTTTATGCGCCAGCTACTTGGGATTTATCACCACGCTGGATCGTCATTGGTCACCGCGCGATAGCACCAAAGCATCGCTGCATCGAGACTCCGTATATCTGATATTACATAGTGTTACGAGCATTGTGTAATCTATATACATTCTGTATTTTTATCCGGCTCCTCTTCAGCTTCAATATTGGACAGACCCGGTGAAGGAAGTGTGAAACGCACTCTGTGTACGGAGGATCATCGGTTTGTCGCGTCGCGGCCGACCCGTTTCGATAAAATACGCATTTTCCGCCGTCGCGGTATTTCATTTCCTTCGTGAAACGCGCCTCTCTATCGCGGCGGGCAAAAACCTCTCGACGACGTCGCCAATCCGTTTCACCGCAAAATGTGCGAGACCGCGGGAAGAGAAAGAGAGAAACAAACACAAATAATAGCCCTCTCCTGCCACGTGCATTTATCTTTGTCACTCGGGTGACAAAACAAATAAGCCTCCGAGAACGGTCATGATATGACGAGTCATTCGCCCCATCCCGGAAGTATTACCGCCGATCCTCCATTATCTCGTGGCGTTGGGGTTACTATAGATAACATTTATATAACTCGTTACAACTTCCCCAAAATTACGTTCACCCCAAAATTACGTGCCTCCCGCCTTCTATCGACTTGAGGGGACCCTTCCTCATAACGCGCTCCTTTCTTTCTGTTTTCAGTCACGTCACGACGCATCCCGTAGGGTCATGTCAGGTTGTGGCAGGGTGTAGCAGTCGGAGAACAATATTCCAAAGCTAACCGCATATTTGATGTAAATTTCCTGAATAATTCATACATCTGATGTAAAAATGGTGTGTCAGTTTTTGTTAGAGATAACACATGATAATTAAGAAAGATGCGAATTTCGAAACTGCTTGATATATTTTGCTGAAGATGGTGCACACAATTTTTGCTGGAGATAATGCATGTAATTAAGGGAAACACGAGTCGGAACTCTGATTCTGTACGAGCAATTTTAAAGACAAATTATATTATAACGCTTTATATTTAAATTAATTTAAAAATACTGTATAATATTAAGTATATATATATATATACTTATATATATAGGGTAGACCGCAGCACGTTGTCACACATTTGGTTCAATATTTTTTGTATTTTTTACATTCAATATTTAAGAGTACTTTAATATGCCAAAATTTCGAGTAAACCCTCAGCTTCAATTGGACAGTATCGAATTTTGTGTGATTGTTACTCTACAGTTGTTACATAACAATAAATAACGACAGGTCGCTTGCCATGTGACAACGTGCTCCGGTCTACCCTATCGGGCAGAGAGAGCGAGTGAGAGAGAGAGAGAGAGAGAGAGGATAAATTTTTCATTTTGACTCTACGTCTCTTCTATATCGCGTATATAACATATGCACGATATAAATCACAAAGTGTACGAATTTCATCGATAATTCATTATCACTATTCTATCATCTAACTATATACGGAATTTTGTATTGTACCTATTCCTAATTTTTTTCTTTATATGGCTGTGTTAACTTTAGTCTAAAGGTAGCACAGCCATGTTTTTAGCGAATTGGCAGGAACAAGAAGTCGGAAATAGGGCAATTAATTAGCAAAAAAAATAGCAATTAATTTTTATACAAGTTGCATTTGATTGTGCTGAAATACAGAAATGGCCGCAGCTTAGTAAACATATTTTCGAAGAATAGAGATAAAAATCGACCGCGGTGATAACGCGGGGAATTACATAATCCTGGATTAAGGTGCGATTTCATTGACGCTAGAAACCAGCGGCAGCGTCAAGAAAATGTAGTGGGGGAAGAAGTTCAGACCGTCTCAACTTTTTAGCGTACCGCAAAATTCAACGAAACTTCTTTTCCCACTATACATTTTCTTGACGCTGCCGCTGGTTTCTAGCGTCAATAAAATCGCACCTTTAATGCCTCGTGACAATATCATGGCCTGTATCGGAACAGTTGGCATAAAAAAAATTGAAGAGACTATGATCAACTCGACAACGCGCGATCACCACGTGTGACGCGAGTGAGATGTAGATAAAACGTGCGAGTAACACGATAAATGGAGCGCCCGTGCCATCTTTATTAGACCGAAACCGCACCTTCCGCGCGTATTTCTCTACCGTTTGAGTTTGACGCTACTTCTATCTTTTTTTTTCTCGTATACGGTCGTTTTTTTACTCAATTATAAACGCGTCCACGCGCGCGTTTACGCACTTCCGCGCAATGAAGTCCCTCCCGCGTGACACCGTTACGAAGAACGCGCGGCGCCGTTGGTAATTGTATTCTGCGCCAATGCTGCAGAGCTGCATTGTCGCAAATACCGTCAACGGCGAACGGCGAAACGGGAGGTCGTTAAACGCGACAGCTGGATTCGTTCGTGACGAAACGATCGGCCGCGAATTAGCACGCGCGCGCGCGTGTAATCGCCGCTTTGCATTCCGCGCGCGATTCGCGCGGGCCCCTCTATATTTGCATGCAAACGCGGAGAGCGGTAAAACTGGCGTGACGACGCGACCGTCCTGCGCGGGATACACATCCCGTGGGATGCATGTCGCAGGATCAGCCGCGATATATTTCAATCCCTTCGACCGTAAAGTTCGTCGCGCGGAAATTTACGTGAGACCGCGCGAGCATAATTTTTCACTAAAGATAGGTAGAGCATTATTTGTCAGCATACGGTCACGGCACTTTTCAGACGATCCATATATCTCATTTTTATATTTCCGTGACATTACTACTCGTCTGTTCGTCACGCGGATAAATTTACGGCGAATTTTATTCAATAATTCCACGAAATAAAGTCTCTGAAGTCAATAATGTTTATTCAAAATAGCAGATAAACTTTCGGTTCATATAATAGAAAATATTTTCTAAACTCTATTTAAATATTTCACCTGCCTAAAGAAAATTAAAGCTATAAATAGATTTAAGGTTTCGTGCAAGTAAGAGATGGCAAATTGCCTGGGGAGATGTTCTATAGGTATATTTCATTCTCTCCTAATGACTCTGTCGACAATTTTTCTTTATTTCTATTTCTCTTCATTTCGCATATAAAGCGAAAACAAATAATGACTCGTCAAGTAAACTGAGCCGTAGGGTACGAAAACACTTCGATGGACCGAGCAAATATCCAGCAAAAAATACTCAACACGCACATTTACGCATAATTTGAATAGGTTATTAAGGGTTTTTGTATATTAAGGTATATTAAGGGTTATTAAGGGTATAAGGCTTACGTTTTCATATACGTAACTCGGAGTTCACTGTCGAATTATCTCACATTGTGAATGTATATCGACCGCGCCATCATTGCATGAATTACGTCGCGTGGGCGGTACGTTTAAAGAGGACATCATGTTCCTGCGGTAGAGTCCTGGTCCGAGGTATTATCGTATTCACTCCTCGTGGTGCATCATGTGCGCAGGTACATGCATACAAACATACATTTTGCGAAGCAATGAGGAGAGAGAAACAGAGAGAGAGAGAGAGAGAGAGAGAGAGAGAGAGAAAGAGAGGGAGAGAGAGAAAAAGAAATAAAGAGAGAGAAAGAGATAATCATTATATAAGAATAAGAAACGTATAAATCGTCAATATGACAGAATTTACATTACATAAATTCCGCAAGAAACGTAAAACCTTGCGTTCATAAAAGAATGTATGGACAATTAATCAGACAGACGAATAATAATAATAATTTCTTGATTATGTAAACGTCTGAACGTCGATAATGGTTAATCAATGATTGATATCGCGGAAACAGGGATGTATAATGAGAGACAGGGAGAAACACGACTGCTCAAGGCAAGGCTCCGTTTGTGTCCGAAGATATCCATTCAAGTTTAAACCCGGAGGAAGCCTAGGATAAAGCAACCCTTGGCATTGTACACGCGGTTGCTTGTTCCTCCATCCTGGATTCTCGATTCTGTTGAAGCCGAGTGTGGCTGCAATCCGACATGCATCGCACGTCGCAATGCAGCAGCACCAGAGTTGCGCCAGAACGATACGCGTTGCCCGATTTGCCAGAACGATGCCCGATTTTGCTGACAGAAAGAGAGAGAAAAAGAGAGAAAGAGAAAGCGGGATAACATACGGGAACGTTTGCCAGCATTCACCAAGGATGACGGCGGTCAAGGTCTGCAATATCGTCAAAGGTGTACGCTTCAATTCTTTTTCCGTCCCAAAGAGTAAAATTTGAAATTTGATTGAAAAAGTCTCGCTTAAATTTCGATACGCGTCGAGTGATATTCAGCAAATAAATTTTATCGTGACTATGAATACAATTGATTTTGATAAATTGTCAAAAAATAATCCGATAAATTTTCCTCTAAACATTCTCTGCTAAAAATACGAGGAATTTTTAAATTTACGATCTAAAAATACAAAAGAGAGTTCCTAAATAATTAATAATAATCGTGATAATATGTATAACTTTGATATGCAATACATATTTGACATATACATATAAACATATGTCTTGTATAAATATTCACAGTAAATCCAATCATTTTTTTGTAATATTATTCCAGTTATTAATTATGTTAAATAATAATTTAAAAGGAATTTCAATTATTGTAATCAAATTGCGGTTATATCTATCATTATACGCGATAGCGACAGAAAACCCGTTGGGGAAAACCGTTATTTTGTAATGAGTGGACATGAAATGACTTAGGTAGATGCTATGCTGTAAAAGAAATACCTACACATTCTTCTTGCACTGATGTGCGCTAATAAAAATGACGGGTTTCTTCTGCGACGCAGTGCTTAACTCCACTTCGTTCTGTCTACTCATTATAAAATAACAGATGTTTAATTTCAGCAACTTCCCGATTGTCATCCTGCATATTAGATTATTATTGCTCGAATGTGGAATCAAGTGCAATATAATTCGTACCAGACTCTAAGAAAATTCCTCGGGAAGGAAAGG